ATGAAAGAGCTTGCATATTCTATTAGTTTATTAATTCATCCCAAAAGTTGAAGTTATTAGGAGGTGAGCCAACAATAATTTTATATTTCAGAAATAGTAAAAAATAGGCCAATATAAAAAGCTTAAGAAAATATATAGGCCAATTTTTAGTTATAGAAATTAATAGGCCATAACTTGTCAAGTTATGGTTCATAACCAGATAAGTTATGGACAAATTTATCAAGTTATGGTTCATAGTCATACAAGTTAAGGACAAAAACCGTGAATTATGGACAATAACTTATCAAGTTATGGTTCATAACTAGACAAGTTATGGACAAAAACAGTAATTTGGTCTATTTATTAACTTATGTAAACTATTGGCCTATTAATTTTAATTCATCTAAAGTCTTTGCCTATTTCCCTCTTTCTCCCTTTATATTTTTACACTTTTCCTAATGTGTAGGCTGGTCAATGAGCAATCGTGTGGGTAAATTAATTGAAAAGCCTAACAAGTGAATTTTGAAGCCCGAAATATATTAAGAACCTAACACGTGATGACAATTTTAAATAAGGATAAAGAGTACAATTACGGGGGTTTGAGACCAACAATAATTTCATGCCTTTGTAAAAAATAACTCTTTTGAAAAGTTTTATTAGTAAAATAACTTTTCAAAAATTTTTATTTGCAAAATGACATCTTTTTACAAAGAATGAGTAAATGTATTTCTTCATAAAAAAGAGAAGAAGGTCATTTTGCTAATTTCACTTTGTTAGATAATCATTCTAGCATATTGCCTTAATAATTTTGTACTTTAACACATTCTAGTAGTCACGGACTCAGTCAATTTGGAAGTTTCCTTTCATCTTGTGATTCATATGCATTAATTATAAGCTAGCTACCGATCCCTTTCATGCATCATACCTATTATTCGTTTCTTATTCCATTAATTCTGTTGAGGTGCTCCCAATTATGTAATTTTGCCTATGATCTTGTTAATTAACCTCAATCTGATTAATTACATATCATGTAAAAATCGAGAACCCTAGATTTATTACAGGTGATGGGGCACGCGGTTGAGGACGACTTACCAAGACTATTTCAACTAATAAATAAGGATCGATTCTTAGGCCGTGTTCAGAATTGATCTCGTTTTTATTTTTCATGTTTTTCGAGAAAGAAAAAATGAAAACGTTTTCAAAACGGCGTTTGGGACAATAAAGGCAAAAAACGGAAATGAAAGCGATTTTTTAGTTTAGTGTAAAATGAAAGAGAAATGAAAAATGACTTTTAGTCGTTATTCATTTTTTATTTTTGTTTTCTCCTCTCTCGAGCAGAAAGAGACATTAATGAGGTTTTTTATACTGAAAACAATCTCTTGATAAAACTACCAAACACATTTTTAAAAATAATTTTTGTTTGAGATTAAAAACGTTTTCATTTTCATTTTCATACAAAAAATAAAATCATTTTGGAATAAATTCCAAACGCGCCCTTATAATCTATAATGAGACTGAAAATATGCCTCTCCTCAGTTTATCAAAATGATTTGAGTTGATATGATTTTGGAATCACCACATACTAATTAACGAAAACATGGTCTATAAGTTCTTTTTCATTCCACTTGTGGTCCTAGAAAATTGTCAATTATGACACCATAAATCTCTTTTTGTAATTCTTAGCAATGAGAATGATAAACAAGTCATGCTTTCAAACAACAAAATTTCGACATTCAATTTGTTTTGATTAAGCATAATACTGAGTGGGTTAATTGATGGAATTTCTCAAATAAAATAATTACGCATTAGAAATTGAAAATAAATGATGCATACCGACCCATCGCATAAACTCGATACATATATATATATATATATGTATATGTATAATCTTATTAATAGAATAACAATAAAACATGTGGCACAAGTTTCTTAAATTTTCCATCTCACAATATTTTAAAATCTTGGTTTTTTTTTTATTTTTTTAATTTTAAAGAACGTTCTTGGTTACAATCCTATTGTCTATGTTCTCTGAAAATATTTACCTAGAAGATATCTAATAATATTATTTTTTTTAAAGGAAAAAAAGTAATATCATGATGCATAGAATGACACTTATCTTGTATGCATGATATCTTATATTTCAGGCAATAGAACGAGAGATTAATTATTAAACAAACCTTACTCGGTATGGAATGACTTGATTGACTCTAGACAGTCGTTTGACTTGGACGCATCATGGCTAGAGATGTTTAATGGACAAGAGGATAGAGAGATGAGCTAGATAAGGTATGGGTCAAGATTTTATCTCTTTGTACTTTTGATCAATACTCTCATGACCAAAATAAAATAAAAAAATTTCAATTTTTATTTTAAAAAACAAAACACTGTTTACTTAAATGATACTAAACGCACCCATAGTATTTGATTAAAGAGTATTTATCGAGAGTAAATGGTGAAGATCAAGATCCATGTAATTTAAGAGGGTATTTATCTCATTTTTTTAAGAGAGAAAGAAAGAAATACGTCAAGACTTAAGATGAATTAAAATTAATAGGTCAATAGTTTACATAAGTTAATAAATAGGCCAAATTACTGTTTTCGTCCATAACTTGTCTAGTTATGAACCATAACTTGACAAGTTATTGTCTGGTTATGAACCATAACTTGACAAATTTATCCATAACTTATCTGGTTATAAATCATAACTTGACAAGTTATGACCTATTAATTTTTATAACTAAAAATTGGCCTATATACTTTCTTAAACTTTTTATATTGGCATATTTTTTACTATTTCTCTTTTTTTTTAATGGATAACAGCTGGTAGACCGCTACGATACACTTAGAGATAAGTCTAGCCCAATATGATTCTGATTGGGCTAGGCCCAGCATGTTTACTAAATGGACTGGACTTTTCAAAAATACTTGAGTCTGTCCAATTAGGACAAAAAATCCTAACTTGCACAATAAAGAAAGATTGCGACAAAATCTACCAAAATTAAATCAAAATCAACTTTAGATTTCCTTCTTAGAATCGGAATTATGCTCATCAAAATTATTTTTCTAAAAACCAAATGAGCACAACATATCATAATTAAACCAAAATCGAAATTGATGGATTTTGGTAATCACACCAAATTGATGGAAGAAAAAAATTGATGAACTCATCTTTTGAATGCATTGTTTTAAGATTTTTGCTCTTTACTTTTAATTATATACTTTTGACTAATGTAGTTATTTGAGTAAAAGAGTATTAATCAAGTGCAAGGGATCAAAATCTAAGGGGTATTTTATGGGGTATTTATTTATTTTTCTTTTTTTTCCCCTCTTGATGGAGGCCTTTCTTAAACTAAACGGGTAGAAAGGCTTTTCCTTTACCCATCCCAATTTGTCTTTTTTAATTACCTCTTTTATATTTGAACAAAATATGAGTCCTAAACATAGTAAAAAATAACTTTGAATAAATAATGAAACATTTATTTTTCTAAACATTTATTTTTCTAAAACTAATCAAATGAAAAAAATAAATTAATATTTATCAACTTAAATTATAAAAACACTCATTGACATGAACTAAAGTAAAATAATTATTATTTGTTAAAATTTAAATAATAAATATTTGTTTATTAGTTGTGATTACTTCAATTCTATAAATTTCATAACTAAATTATTACAGAATATAAAATAACAAAAATTATTATGTCTAATTATTGCTCTTAATTATTTTATATTCTAACTAACACTTAATTTAATTAATCTATTATTATTACTATCCTTGTTATTGTTATTTAAGTAACCTCGTACATAATTAATTAATTAGTCAAGTAGAACTAAATAAAACAATAAATAGTAGAGTAATTATTTATATTCAATAAAGTAAAAAATAATGATACATTGAACTCTTAAAACAAAAAATTTATTGTTTGTTCAAGTAATTCCTATTGACATATAATTAAATATTTAAAAAGCACACAAAGTTATTGTTTTATTGGACAAAATGACAAAAAATTATTTTTATGTAATTAATTAATTATTTTATATTCTAAAAAAATAATCGCTTTGCTTTTCATTTTTTATTAATTAATTACTGTTTACACAATTTTAATAATTAAATAATTACTGTGATATTTGTTTGAATATTTATTCTATTTTATTATTTTATTTGTGAATAGTGAAATAAAATAATAACATGGTAATATGATTAAATCAAATAATTAAATAATTATTTTAGTTGTGAAATAATTAATAAAGAATTTAATTAAAGTATAACTATTTTATATGATCAACTATTAATTAATTATTAAGTAATTAATTAATGATATAATTACTCTTGTTATATAAACTATTTATTTATATTTAATTAAATAATTGAATAGAGATAATTAAGCGTTTATTACTTCAAGAAAATATCATCAATTGAATAATTCCAAGATAAGGGGTATCAATTCGTTAAATAAATGTTAATTTCTTTCCTTCAAATGGATATTCAAACAAAGTAATCCTGTTGAATTATATAATTCCAAATCTCAATGAAACAAACACAGCCTGAGGGTTTTGAGCACTATGCCTAAGCTCAAAACGACGAGGCTGAACGGTCAAAATAAACGAAAGACAACACTAGTAGAAAATTTATAAACGACAAGCATTCGTGCAGCAACCAAAATGTTGCTCTGCTAGGGGATTATAAACATAACGACAGAAAAGTGCAAACAACGACACTTCTGTAATAAAATAGACGCAGCTTATTTAGAGCATCTCCAATCTCTAAATTTTAGCTAAAATATTATTTTAACTAGTAATTTTTTAGTAAGTTACACCAATCATATTCTTTATTTTAGCTAAATATTAATTATTTTAATATTTTTTTAAGTTTAAAATATTAATAAATTTTTTTTAACGTTTTACATATATTTAACTAGTAGAAAATACTTTAGTTAAAATAATTAATTATTTAGGTAATGGTTGAAGTGAAAAAAAAGAGACTAAATTATTAATTTATTCTGACTAAAAATATAAAATAATTAGTACGGTTGGAGCTGGTTTTTGAACAACAAAACCTCCTCGATCAACTTCTCAAAATTTGTTAAGGAAGAACCACCTGCCTCGGTGGCCTCCTCAGCCTTTCTCTTCCACTCCAACGCATTTCTTCTCATTTCCTTCCCTTTCTCTCCGTCCATCAACTCTCTCACTAGCTTCTCTACTTTCTCTCTCTTCACATCACTATCAATCTCCATCCCAACACTCCATTCGCCACAAGAAAACCTACAGTTGGTCTGCTGTTCGGCGAAGAATGGCCAACAGACGATCGGCACACCGGTGGTCAAGCTCTCGATCGTCGAGTTCCAACCGCAATGCGTCAAGAAGCCTCCGACCGACGGGTGCCTCAGCATCGTCTCCTGGGGGCACCAGCCGGCCAGCACTCCCCTTTCTCTCGTCTCTTCCACAAACTCCGGCGGAAGAATTCCCGAGTCGTCAGCAACGAGGTCCGGTCTAATTATCCAAACAAAGGGTTTCTTGCTGTTAGACAAACCCCAAGCGAACTCTATAAGTTGCTGCCGAGTCATGACTGTGATGCTTCCGAAGTTGACATAAACAACTGAATTAAGTTGCTTGGAATTGAGCCATTGGAGGCATTGGGACTCTTCTTTCCAGAGATTGGATCCGATGGAGGACAAAGGGCTGTTCGGACGAGTCTTTTCGGCGGGGAGGTGAAGCGGCCCAACGGTGTAGATTCGAGGGAAGATAGAAGAGAGAGATTCCAAAACTTTGTGTTCCAACACGTCAAAAGTGTTCACGATTATAGCGGAAGCTCTGGAAGATGCGTTTATCTGTTCTATGGCAATGTTTATCATAATGTCATCTGGGTTTGTTGTCCTTATGAAGCTAGGAAGATCTCTCAGTCGGATATCTTTCATGCCTGGAATCCAGTCTATAATGGTGTCTAAATATCCGTTTGACAAATAAGTTTCGTCTGCAAAAGAATTTTTAATTGTATGTTAGCTCCAAAATTGGTGATGATCAATATTATATGTATGTTTCTCCGATTTGGTCTTAGTTTAAGGACTTTGGTAGAATGGCTAATAAGGCAGAGGGTAATTACATTAATTTACTAATACAAAATATTTCAACTAATTGTCGCAAAAAAAAAAAAAAAAAAAAGATGTGTAAGTCAATGTGATAAAAAAAATAGACCAAGTTTACCAAAAAAAAAAAAAAAAATTTCATCAAACAAATTAAAAAAAAAAAGGAAGACTGCTTATATATGATTTTCTCACATTAATTTCTTTAAAAATATAAGTCTAAGTCTATAAGATTATGTACAAGTTGCATGCATAGTTTAACATGAAAATCAGACCTGACTTGGTGTAAAGATTAAATCCACCATATATTAAAAGAGAAAACAAAAATTGATTTTATGCTAATGTACAAAAAATTATCTCATTATTAATATAAAACACTTACAAGTTTTCAATGATTATGTCTTCATCTATAGTTACTGATCAAATTAGAAAAATAAGTGCATACCTTAATTACATTTAATGACATGATATTTTGTAGGACTTGCTATCATAGGTTAATCAACAACTTAACCTTAAACATTAACTAAAAAAATTAGTATGAGCTCTCTAAATTCATGGTTCATTAATTATCATAACTTTTTTTTTATTATCAACTATTCAATTCATTATAACCGTTTAATTCATATGGTTAAAACATTAATGTTCACCGATGAATAAATTTAGAGTAACCATTGAAACTATGCTCATACATATATATATATATATATTTGTACTTTTAATGGTGACTTTAACATTAACCCAACAATGAGTATCATTGTTTTAACAGTAAGAAATTAATCTGATGGTTGTAATAAATTAGATAGCTGACTTAAAAAAATTATGATAATTAATGAGGTTGTATTCTTATTATGTCACGTCATCAAAGTTTCATATTTAATGGATATTCATGATGAGAACGTAACCATTGAAAACTTGTCTATATATATACATGTGTGTTATAAAGTCTTAAGCCTGACATCCAAACCAGTCGGTTAAATTTAATCATTTTTGTAGATGCGTGTAACATCATTCTTGCACATGTAACTTTTTTTTTTTTTTTTTTGTATTTTAATATAACACATATTATATGTGTTGTATTTGTAGAATACTATATTAAAGCAAAACTGAGTGTTACACACATTAAATATGGGCATAAAAAAAGTTACATTTATTGGACTTGTAAATGAACGTAAGACAATTCTTATATATAATATACATACATACAAACATAATCATTAAGTTATTAACTTTTGACTATTTCAACGAAGTAATGTACTGGCTATTCTTTTTTTTTTTTTTTTTTTTTCACGATTCCTTTTTAGGAGCAGCTCTAAGCATATTGATCTTATCATATTTTTAGTAAAGATAGCTAATGATTTAGTTATTTTTTTTTATAATTTTTTTTCACTCCAACTGTTAGTTAAATGATTAATTATTTTATTGTTAGAGAAAATAGTTAACTATTTTAGAAAATATCATCTACTAGCTAAATATAATTAGTATAGAGAGACTAATTATTTCATTTTTTATATTATTTTATCTTTCGACGGTAGTAAATGTAAATATTATTTTCTAAATTTAATAAAATTATTTATATTTTAAATTTAATAAATATTAAAAGAATCTATATTTAATTAAAATGGAGAGTATGGTCGGAAAAACTTATTAAAAAATCACTAGTTAAAATAGCTTTATAGCCATTTTAGGCAGAATTTAGTTAAAATTAGAGAGTTAAGACACTCTTTGTCAACTTTGAGTGGTTGCAGACAAATACCTACATAAATAAATAAACAAATAAACAGAGGGACGAGGCTCGGTCCCGCTCCCATCTATGAACCAAAACATGATTTATAGAGATTAACGAATTAAAGTAATATACAACATGCAAGATCTTATGTTGTAATCCGTACCTTTCAGTGGTATAAGACCTTTATCAACAAGATGTCTATACTGTACGTATCCCATGAAGCCGCAGGCACTGGTCGTCCAAAAGCATGCAAATGGCACTCCAAATTCTTCCGCAGCTTTGAGGGAGAATGACATGGAGCCATCGGAAACGACGCAGCTCACCGGCGGAGAAACAAGACCGTTAATTGAGCTTCCGTCATTCAGCTCGGCAATAAGCTTCCGAAGGGGTTCTAGGCAGTGCTTTCTGGTGGAGTCGCAAAAGGGACGGGATGTCCTGCGCCGAGTCGGTGTCCGTCGGAGGGAGACCATCGGGGATTGCGGCAAAGCGGAAGCCGGGCAAGCCCTCGAGGGATTTGGGGCCTCTTGACTTGAGGAGACGCTTGTGGTTGTACTCGGTGTTCACAAAGGTTATGTGAAAGCCTCTTTGGTGGAGAAGTTTGGCCAATTTAAGCATTGGGGTAATGTGGCCTTGTGCTGGGTATGGGAGGCACACTGCGTGAGGCTTGTTTGCACCACTAATATGGAAAATAGAAGACATCTTGTTTGGACGATCTTGGATTTGAAGGAGGATATATCAACTGGGATTAATTTATATACCTTGCATTGTGCAGACTTCTGCTGTGCCCATATCTTCTATCTTAAAATGTCAATTTATTAAATAGGGTGCTTTATAAGTTATTGTTTGTTGTTATATATACTAATAATGTGGGACTCGGGTTTCTCTCTCTCCATTGAATTTTCATATATAGTTATTTCAATATGCTTTATAATCGTACAACTTCGTCCCCATTCAAATATTTAATTTTCTTGTATATTTTCCAATTGAAAATTAGATTTGCTACGTCTCTTCATTACAAGAATATATATATATATATATATATATGTTGAGTTCATATTTCGTACCTCATCTCATCTTTTACCGTACATGTAATAATTTGGACTCCGGTTTGACACTAAACGAGCTACCACGATTCTCAAGTAGGTTAAAACGACTCATCAATAAGTCAACTTCACTGGTTGATCCCATAAGTGAATACTCAGCCTTAGGCACTAAGCAACTAGAGAATATATTCTAAACATTCTTAAAACAGGAATTGGCAATCGAATCAGCCCAAAAAAGAAAGAAATCAGTTAGCCAAGCTAGAGGAATCAAGGAAAAAAAAGGTTAACGGATGACTTAGGTCGCAAAAAACACGCCTATTGAGCAAATTTGATTGCTTTTTGCATAAGAAAACTGAATCCTCATCAATCGCGCAATAAGGAGGCAGACATTTGACCAGTCAACGGGAAGGTGGATATGTAAAGGAAGGGAAAATATCACCCAAAAAGGAAACAAATACACCCATTGAGAGCCAAATCGACCAAGAAAACAAGAAACAATTGTGGAGCCTTCATCAGCTATAAATATAAGAGATTTAGACATCCTGAGAGATGCTCATCAGTATAATTAAGCACTCACGCTCCCTTCTAGCATATTTTTCTCCTATTATTTTCAGTACTTTCATGCATTCCCCCTTCTCTCTCTTCTCATTCTTCTCTCATCGACCCATTATAATGCCTTTTAGCATACAAAGTGAAACCATTGGAACCCGATAGAGGACTTAGCTCTCATTAACGAGCGAAGCTATATAAATTATTGTCTCTCTTTTACTGCTATATTTTACTTTCTTATTTACTAACGCTTTTGTTTTCACAACTGATCAATTTCTTTAATTGATGACTCCTAATTCGGTCATTCAATGGTAGATTTCAACCTCTATAATATATATGTATTTATCTATACAGGCACAGAACCAAGCTTGTGGGGACACGTGCCCCCACTGAACAGTTAAGAAATATATGTTAACATATAAGGTTAGGTTTTTTTCCCTTATAAATATTGATTGAGAATTTATACAAATTTTGAGTTTGTGTGCCCCCACGGTTAAGATACCAATACCAATTTTCCATATCTCCCCCTTCGCCAAAATTTGTGCCCCCACAAGCGTATTGCACAGAGCCACAAACCTTCCCTTTTTTTGTTTGCTAAAATGTTTGAAACGTTTTGAATTCTATCTTTTTAATTGCAATCGAATATAATTGACTCACTTAATTTTAGTATTATTGCATTTTAAATAAATATAATTTAGATTAAAAAACTGTGTATACATCATTATCATTAAGCGTTTCTAAAACATAAAACCTGTTTGCTTTACTAGAAAATATTAAAACTATAATTTAATTTTTCTATACTTTTAGTTTAATTTTTTTTCTTTATTTGTGCCCTCAAATTGAAATCCTGGCTCCATCACTATATATATAAATAATGCTAGGTATACCAACTTAAGTCCTAACTTTTGTATATCAACTGATATGAAATCTGAGTTATCATTTTTATATTAGTGAGTGTTTAAAATATTGTCACGTCAATTAATAATAAGAAATTGCATCTACTAATAATAAAACATGATGACTCATATGCCACATCAGTTGGTATATAAAAATTGAGATTTGAGTTAGTGTCCCTAACATTACTCCTATATATATACATATATATAGGAATTGTCTCCAATCCGGTGCCGGATTGGAGCGACATATGTATATTTTTTTAAAAAAATATGTATATTTTCTCTTAAAACAGTATAATGTGGGAAGACATATATAATTTATTTAAACAACTATATACATGATCGAAATTTTTTTTCCCCTGTCAGCAAATCTGATCAAAAACTAGGATCAAAGCCTAGATTGGAGCCACATATACTAAAATCTTATATCTCTTTTGGTCCGCCTCTTATTCTCGCTTAATAGCTTTCTTGAGTTTGAAAACTATGGATTTTTGCTTCATATCTTCAATCTATCTGCAAAAATTAATGAATTATTTTTCGTTGGAATCACGCATGCAAAAGCATACTAGACGTATAGTCAGTCAGTCCCACATCTTTTTCTATGTCTCGAGCATAGGTTTTTCCGCAATGATTAAACACGTACATCTAAAGTAACTTTAATCACAAATTTTTTTCATTTTTTGTGAAATTTTCTCAAACTGAACACACCCTATCTTGTTTGTTCTTTTTTCTTTTTAAGTTATATTCACCATGCAAAACTCGTTCATGTACTAGTTGGGGCTAGTGGACATGCTGGTTCTGGGACTGGTGTTTGTGCTGGCCTGCCCTACGTACTTTTGCTTTAATTATAAGTTGAAGTGGCCTTTGAAATGTTTGTGTGGTCAAATGGAGTAGAATGTTTATCCATTTAACTTGCCCTATATATAAATTACCCACACAAAAAAAAACTTGCCCCATATATACGCAAGTTAAAAACACAGTATTCCGTAAGTGCCTCAAAATGGAGCAACTTTCGACGTTTAAAATATATAGATATTACTATTAAATCTAAGAACCAAAACAGAGAATTTGCGTGATGAAAATACATAAGAAAATAAGGTTTATGCAAGTACTAGCAAAATAAGTAAAAGACTATTCTACACTTATTAAAGATAAAGAATAACTAATTATATTTAACAATTACCATCTTCAACCACAATTCTCCAATGTGTGGTTGCAAGACCTAGCGGTGAATCAACACTTTGACTCCACCACAAGGTATATGTTTTGATCAAGCCAATGAAAAAATTAAATTGATTCACGACAATAATGATGAGAAGGCAGTAAATCTTGCCGTATTACCATAAAATATATTTGAACATTGGCGCTAAAATATGGCAAGATGACTGTATAATTTAAGAGATATACTAAATTACTAATCAACATTTATATGCAGCTTTACTGTAGCAATTGTATTTGGTATTTGTAATGTTAGAATTAATTTGTAATAGTTGGTCTTTTATTTATAAACAGTACTCTTGTTTGCTTGCTTTGACAAGAGAAAGTGCATAGAAATCTTTTTCTCAATTCATTAGTTCTTGCATTTTCAATTATTCCATTTAGTGCAAAGTCTTTATATTCTTAATACAAATCTTTCAAATGCAATTATATATTCTTAATAAGAAAAGAAACTACTCTCAAAAGCGATTCTATATGCTTAATGTTAGTTTCGACATACTTTTTTTTATTATTTTTTATTATTTTTTAAGTTTTTCAACTTACTACTTGATGCTAAATTTAGTACCGAGTAAGATAATATGATGACTAGCAAGTTTCCTTTTTTTTTTTTTCCCTCTCTTCTCTCTTTTTCTCTCTCTCATGAGGCAGCTAGGGTTTTGAGTTTGGGATCTCTTCTTAGTGCCGGAGTCTGGCACTACCACTGGTTGGTCATTAGACTCTTGGCCCTAATTGAGACGGTGGTTGAGGTAATGCATGTGTGGCCAGTGGTTGCTGGGTGTGGTACATTACTGATGGATGCGTAAATCTGGTGAGGAGCATAAGCTTATTGGTGGATATGTAGCGCAAGGGCATTGTTCGAATTGTTTTTACATTCAGCTTTGTGGATGGCGGTTGCCCTTCTGCTGCGATGGCTCTACTCAGATTCGGTTTCTTTGGGTTCCATACAATGTCGTTGGCTGGTCATCATCATCTGTTCCTGTATGGTTGAGGAATTTCTTGTTTTTGATTTATTATTAATTTATATTTTCATTGGGCCTAAAGGAATTCAAAGAAAATTATTATCGTACATTTTTAACAAGATTTTTAATTTAGTGCATTAGCCCAAATCATGATCAGAAGATTTTATTATTTAAGCGAAGTTATTAATTTATTGAACATTCATTTATCGAGGTTTTATTTTATTAACTTTGAGCGGAGCAAAGCAAAGCAAAACAAAGCAGATTGCAAGGCAATAACAGTAAGATTTGGGGAACAAGTGAACGAATACGAAAAGATTAACGAAATAGAGTCAGCTATTAATAAATTATTTGCCTTAGTTACTGTAATATATATATGTAAGGATATATAAAATATTTAAGCTAAGACACATGTTGAAAAATATTTAAGTCTATAGTTTTCAGTTTGCTTTGGCTCATGAGTTTTAATTGAGAAGTATTCTTTTTGTATGAATATTAATAGACTACTTTTATGATGTCTGGAGAGGAATTTCCGATGACCTGTACATTTTATATTGGAACGTGCAAACTTCAGATGTTTGAATTATATAACGTTACAATAAATTTGTAAATTTAAAAAGAAATATACGATAGCGTCCACATTTAAACGATATAATTACGAATATTAAACGATGAAATTATAAAATTAACGATAACATTGTGGACCGACATTAGGAATGGTAACGGGAGGATATAAACGACAATGCCCTTCGCTAACGATATTTTGATATAAACGACAACAATGCCGGAAAACAAAAACAATCTTAGAGAAACATAACCACGTGAAACGAAACTATACATCTATACATACTTTAGAGTCAAAGAGTTGACTACTAAAGAGGCCATGGTCTCTATAAAGGCGAGATGTTTACTTCCACTTTTGTTTAGTTCTCTATTTTTCTCTATTTTTTCATTTTTAGACTTTTTTTTTTTATATATTTTTCTTATCTCTCCTTTTTCCCTCCATATTGCCTTTTTTTTAATATATATTTTTCCACACTATTGCTTACATATTGTTTTTAGCAGTAAT